ATATTTTCACTTCTTTTTCTTCTTGGTCTAGTCCAATGGTAATTTGAATTTAGATTTGAGGAGCTTACAAAACCTTTATTTTGTATGAATGACAAGTTTAGTATCCGAGTAGTATCGATTGGGGGTTTTGCTGAAAATTCAGGGTAAGTATTGATCTTCTCTTGCCGTTTAAGAATATCTTTGTAAAAGTCATGGCTATGTATATAACTTAGTCCATCGATTGCTACAATTTGATTGACACTGGACCGAGTGCTTCATCAACATCACATAATAGTGATTCTCGAGTCTCAACGCTGAACTTTGTGCTTTCTTTAGATAATGGTCGATGGCAGTGTCATTTCACGGCCGTAACTTCCCAGTTTATAAGTGACGCAACTGAAGACCCCTTTTAGTTTGTCGGTATGAAGCAACCTTCCCCTCCCCTTGTTCTTGCCCAAGTGCATCAAGAGTACGCCCAAATTTTTACATCTAAAGTTACCTGATCCTAGACCAAGACCTGCACTTCCTTCTTTAGAAGAAAAAGAGGCCGGTAATTCTTATCAGCATGTGCATGTGGTAACATCTATTTTTCTTTGCAGTTTCAAACAAATCGTTTTTGTGCAAGAAAATAGAAAGGACATGCAGTTCAAGTATAAAATTTTGAGACGATAACCCATGATTGCTTCTAACTTTGTATGATGGGCGCAAGGTTTAACTCATTAATTAACCCACAAACTAGCTTTTGACTAGTGCGTCCGCGTGAGTGTTTGTTCTTCATAATCATATATTTTTAATTTTTGAAAAAATGATAAATTTAATTGTTCATATTTTTATATTATAGATTCATATGTTAATTAGGATTGACATTGATATGTCTTGTTCAATGTGATTAGTCTTCACTTATAAATTATGAAATTGTGTTTTTTTTAATTGTATGTTTATTTAGCTTATTTAGCAAAGTAAACACTAAAATGTCAAAAAAAAATCTATATAAAGTTCAAAACGTTGTTGAGAATTTTAAAAACAAATATATTATTTAGAGAAACAGAAATAATAATGAAACCAAGTTAAAACATTAGAAAAAAAAAACAATTGAAATTAATAGTTTAGATTATCTGATTATAAATTTGTAATTAAAATGAGTCACAACTTTATTACTATGTTCAAATATTATTTTCATCACAATATGTATGGTTTAGGTTTTAGTTTTATTTTAAATGACCTGGCCCATATATGGATTGCTAGTGGCATGAAGATGTAATTTTTAAAGTAAACTAAAGGATATTTTCTATTTGTACTCTAGTTTTAATAGTTTAGATTACTGAATGGAACATTGGAACAATAATATGTTGGAAATATGTTCTAAGTCAACGTTTTGGATTCCTGCCCATTACATCTTCTAAGAGTATCTCCAACCCACTCCATAATTTTACTGCAAAATTGAGTGGAAATGGAGTAGTGAACAAACAAAAAAAGTCATCACTCCATTTATAGAGTAATCACTTTTTGTTTGTTCATTACTCCATTTTCCACTCTATTTTACAGTAAATTATAGAATGGAGTTGGAGATGCTCTAAAAAACTTAGTTTTCCATGTTTTAGTGGAAGTCTTATCTTCATCATCTTGTTAAATCTTATCTTCATCATCTTGTTAAACCAACACTAATACCTTATCCCTTGTCCTAACCTTGCTTAAGCATGTACGGATAATGGAAGATTTCTTAAGGCTAGTTCTCTCAAACATAGAAAGGAATTTAGAAACTTGTACAGTGTTTACTGGCTCTCTGGTGAGAGATGACACACCCCTTTGCATTCATATTATGAAAAAAGTTTGTCAGCTACACGACATATATTCTAATATGGTGAAAACCATCCAGAGTATAAAAATGTGTCAAAACTACATGATGTATAAGATAATACATGCCACATATACGATGTTAATGATTATATGACGGCAACATCACAATCGGGTTTAATTGTAACTAATCAAAGTTTTTGGGGTCAAACTGCATTTTTATATTCGTTCACATCCATAGAACCTTTGACCCGGATTTTGGTCAGTCCAGAGCTATCTTCGCCGGTAATCCGCAATGGAAAAACACATTGCCTTGAATTGCTTTTCCCTTCCCCTTATGGTTAGTTCCTCTTTCAAATTCCATCTCTCTCTCTCTCTCTCTCTCTCTCTCTCTCTCTCTCTCTCTCTCT